GAGGTGCGGCCTCACCAGTGCCGAGTACAGGGGCACGATCACTTCCCTACTCCTGCTGGCCACACTATTGCTGATACAGGCCAGGAGGCCATTGGCCTTCTTGGCCGCCTGGGCCCACTGCCGGCTCATGTCCAGCCAGCTGTCAACCAACACGCCCAGGTGCTGGTTATATATATATATAACATAATGCTATATGTTATATAGCATTAGTGCAGGTCACCTTCCTAGGGCCAAAGCCGAAAGGGACCATCATGTTCTTTCTGTGTGAACTGCCCAAAGACTTGTATTTTACCCAGTGACTCCTGTGGGGAAGTGAGCTACCTTCTCCATCAGCGGTTTATTGAGCTTAAATCTAAGAAATCTGCAAGACTTAAAATATTCCAAGGCCTTCTCATCCATAATGAGAAGGACAATGAAAACGTGACTGTTCTAGATGACAAACAGCCTGATACCATGGAAGTGCAGCAATTTTTTGCCCGCACCACCTAATCGGCTCTTTCTTGACATGTTTATTTCTCACTCTTTAGGAAACCAAGATGGATTACAGCTCGTTCAGCGGAGTCCCCCGGTTCTTGACCCGGCCTAAGGCGTTCATGGTGTCTGTGGGGAAGGATGCCACCTTGAGCTGCCAGATCATTGGAAACCCCATCCCAGTTGTGAGCTGGGAAAAGGATAAGCTTCCAGTCCAGTCTGGGGGAAGGTTTAAAACCACAGAAGATGGGGATCTCTATCGGCTAACAATCTACGATCTGAGCCTGGAGGACAGTGGCCAATACATCTGCCGGGCCAAGAACACCATCGGCGAAGCTTTTGCAGCTGTCAGCATCAAGGTTGGAGAGGAGACCACAGTAACGGAGTCAGCCCCATACTTCATCCAGAAACCCTCCTCCATCAAAGTAACATTGGGAGAAGATGCCATGTTCAAATGCAAAGTCCAGGGCAGCCCTCCCCTCTCGGTGAACTGGGAGAAGGATGGGAGACACCTGCGGAACCGGACTGATGCCGGACGCTTCCATATCGAGTCTGCTGGGGAGTCAAACGCTCTCACCATCCAGTGTGCCCGGCTGGGGGACAGCGGCACCTACACCTGCCGGGCGGAGAATCCCATCGGCTCTGCCAGCGCTTCAGCTGCGCTGGTGGTGGAAACGCAGGGCTCTTCCAACCCGGGCAGCAGCAGCCATTTCGATACCAGCTGCGGCAAGACGGCATCCTTGTTGTCTCACTTGCAAAGGAGGCGGGAGGAGATCAGGAAGACAGACATCTCCCATGGGGCTCTTGATTCAACATCTGCCCAGTCTTACTCCATGGCAGAAGGGTTGTCCGGCATCAGCTACAGCCTCTCCCGGGATTATGAGAGAGCGGCTGGACTTACCACCAAAGGGGCCCGCAACGCGACTTTCGGGGCGTTGACACGCACGTGCAGCGTGACGGAGGGGAAGCATGCCAAGCTGAGTTGCTACGTGACGGGTGAGCCCAAGCCAGAGATTGTGTGGAAGAAGGACGACGAGGTCATTTTGGAAGGGCGGCGGCATGTCATCTATGAGGATGATCAGGAGAACTTTGTGCTGAAGATCCTCTTCTGCAAGCAGATAGACAACGGGCTGTACACCTGCACGGCCTCCAACCTGGCAGGCCAGACGTACAGCTCCGTGCTCGTCACCGTCAAAGGTGGGTGCTTATGTTTCTTACTGGGGTGGGCATGCCTGCAAGGAGACAGGCAATGCACTTCCGAATTGGGGTGGGAGCGTGAACAAAACTTCTGGCACCAAACTGCTGCAAAGTAGTGTGGGTTAGACATGAAAAAAAGCCCTCCAGCTGTAAAGGGGGATAAGCACTGGAATAGATGACCTGGGGAGAGAGTCTTATCACTGGGGGGTTTTAGGAAGGGATCAGTCAGGGATGGATGACGTAGAACTGGCTGGTTGTGGGGCAGCTGGGATGAACCAGATCTCTAAAGCTCCCATGCGTCCTGGTTTAATAGTAATCTAAGAGATCCATCATCATCCTCTATATCAGGGACTGCTAAGGCCCCATCTTGCCCTCCTTTATACTCACCACAGGGTTTAGTCAAACTGGCACACACATGCCATTTAAGCAGAAGTAGAGGGAACTCCTCCCTGCAAGCTGAGTGTGTCAGGCTGCCTTGGATCCCTTGGGGGACCTACTCCAACTCTAATTGCAGTCTAACGCACAGTTTTCCTGTACAGAGTGACCCACCAGCAGCCTTGCTCTTGCCAGGCCTCTTCAGCCTTTTCCCAGCTTGCGTAGTCCTTGTGTGCTCCCAGAACTCTACTAGGTCCAGGATGCCTCTGTTTGCTGCGGTCAGTGGTGAAGAACTTGCCTTCAGGGGGTCCCTCAACGCTGGTGGAGGTCAGACCAAGTTCTTTAGAATGGCGACAAAAATGTGACACACATATTTTCGCAAAGGAAGCTCTAAATTTTCAAGCTGCTCTCCCATTTGGCAAGGTTGCAGCAGGCAGTTTGCAACCCAGGCAGCACCTGTAAATTAACTCTCAGAGGTAAAAGGCTTTGCCACTTGAGTGGCAAAATAGATGTTTTTGACTGGCAGCAAAATAAATTAGAAATCCAAATGAGTAGGAATGGTCTGTGTTTCATACCCGTCTTTATGACTCTCAGCTTTTATTTGGTTTTCTGGTTTCCCTTTTCTGGGCCTCCCCTTTCACACTCGCTGTCTTTCCCGTCAGTGACTCAGTCCCCTTGTCCATCAGTGACACCTGATCCGTGGAACTCGCTGGCACTTGTCCCACTCATTGCCATCCCTTGGAGGTGCTGAGTGGCATCGGGAAGGGCATTTGTCCTCTTCCATAAAGCTGTGATTACCTCATGAGTCAGGACTCAGAGCTGAAGACCGAGCCTGGCCCTTGGGTTCACTCTGAGGATGGCTCAAGCTCCGTTACTTGCTCAACGCCTGTCTTGCAAAGACAAACACCCTCCCCTCTTGCCCACGCTTATTTGATTATTCTCAATGGGTGCAACCTCTTCCAAAGGAGATGTGGAAAGCATGCGACGCAGCAGGTCTGGGAGCAAGGACCATGGGAAAAGGTTATTGATCAATGTCCCTTGCCAAAAGACACCTGTGAGTCAGAGGGCTTAAGTGGAAATGTTTATGGTCTGTTTCTTTGTTACGCCATACCATGTTGGGCTTTCTGACCAGGCCAAGGCTGCCATGGAAAATCTACGTGTGTTGGTTATAATTAGGCCCTGAATAACGACTCTCCTTTGTGTCACCAGAAGTCCTTCTCAGCCCTCCAAAGACAGCTCAGAACGATGTAGCAGTGAAGGGAGCTTTTAATTCTGTTGTTTATGCCATTAGTGATGCCATTAGCTCATCTGCCACCGGGTTTAGGGAGGTAGGTCATCTTGCCACACAACCTTCTCTTTGCTCGGTCGTGCAGAAGAGGCTGAATTCTCCAAGCAGCCACCCTTGGTAAGCACCATGCTGCTGCATTGGTCTTTCTGCAGGTAACAGCATATTTATAGAGCCTGTGACGCTGCATCCACAGCATGTGTCCATAGACACACGTACCAGGAAAGACAAGCTTCATGGGTTTAAATATGCTCTGGCATTTTGGTTTGCAGAATTTCCACACAGGAATCTGAGTGAGAATATTTATGGGTCTTTTATTATTACCTTTTAAAGGTAATAATAAAAAAAGACTGCCTAGCCCAGCATCCTCTCTGTAAGGTGGCTCTTAGCAGTCTCTCTCAGGGCATAGGACTGGGCACAGGTCAAACCTCCTCTAGAAAGGCTCCTATATTCTGTCAATCTAGATCCTAGACCTAGGGACCCAACATATTTGTAAGCACTTTGCTGAGCCCATGCCTTAAAGATCATTGAGCTGAAAAAAAGAGATTTTTGAGCTGTTCCTAAATGAGATGTAGTGAAGCAGACGTAAATCTCAAAGGAGAGGCTACAGGGCAGAGAGTCACTCTCACAATTAAGGAAAACCAAGAGTTGATTACTCTGATTCAGAAATGTGTCTAGAGCAGGGATAAAATCGCAAGCCGTACGCTGAAATGTGAGTTGTAAAAGAAGTTAGGAAATGCTTCCCAAGAGTAAACCTCTTTGACAAAGCAAAGAGCAGAGAGGATGGGAGGAACACAAATAAATGACTTGAATTTCCTGAAGGCTTTGGAGGTGTCCCGAGGCCATGTGTAAAGTTAGCGAGAACAGCATACAGGCCTCCATCCTTGGGCCTGGGCCAAGCAATGTTCATCTGAGTCCCTGAATACAGAAATCAGATACTGTATGAAAAGGTTAAAGGTTGCAAGCCAAATAGGATGGAGACTGGAAAAACAGACTGGTGCTGAGGCCACTTTATTCCCCTCTGACCTGAAGTGATTTTGAATGACCGCTATCACGGTAGTCACATCTGAGATCTGAAAGAGAATTGCAACTTGAGGAATGTGGAGGTAGAAAGGAAACTTGGAAAGCACAGTAACTAGGAAGAGGACCAAGGGCACAAGATGGTCGAAGCTTGTCTATGCACCTTTAGATAGCTCCCTTTGGAAGGATTCTTCATATTCTTACTCTCACTGGATCATTTTTGTTAGGCAGAGGGAAAACTTGCCTCTGGAATAATAAATGGAGAGCCCATGAGAAGGCCAGAAATAGGCAAGAGGAAATGCAGGTGAGAAGACCAGGTCAAGCAGGCAGATATGCTTTGAGAAGGTTAAGGAAACATTGGCTTCTTTGCAGGCTGCACCTATTTTTAGCAAAATATGGGTTAGCAGGACCTGCTTTTAAAAAATAACATCATGTCATTGCTAGTTTGGTTGGTATGGACCAAATAAAAAAGCCTGTGACAGTCTGGAGAAATATGTTCTCAAGACAAGCAGCCAAATTCATAGCTGGTCTAAGCTCTTGAAGTTTCTGCTAACTCCATAGGCTGCTCTTGTTCCATGCTCTCTTGGGGTTTTGCTTTGCTGTTTCTGTCTCACAGGCTTTTGTAGCTCTCTTATTTTATCTCTTATTTCTCCTTCTTTAGAAATGTTATTGCCTTCATTATATGCCTTAATGAGTATTTCTGCTTTGGCTAAAAACAGATTAATAGAAAAAACTGTACAGTCAAAAAAAAAAAAAATCATACTGATACTAGAGATGAATTTAAATGACCTCTCAGGGCACTGAAAATGAGCCATGGCCCAGGAGTCCAGATATTACAAAGACAAAGCAGAACTGCTCTTCAAATTCACACCACTGAGCTCTCATGGAAGTAAAAGTTTCTGGATAATGGTTGATTTGGAGTGATCAGAAGAACACTGTTTTGTACTTTTCGTTGGATTCTATATGAAATGGCATCCACTTGAACTACTCTTCCAGCTTGCAAGATGTACGGTTCAAGTGCCTCCTCTTGCTTCTGCTCCCAGACTGCAGCCTGTCTCAGCTGCGTTGAAATTGTCTCTTCCGTGGTGCCGGGGACTCACAAGTACATGGAGCTCTGGTGACTTGAGCAGAGCTGAAACTGCTTTGTATTGTGGGAGAGACAGCCCGGCAGGGAGAGCACCCTTAGGAAAGGTTGTGGTCAGGAAACCATCCAACCATGGCTTCCAAAAGCACCGCGGCAGATCACCTGGTCACAAGCGAATGCCAAACTGAAGTGAAAAAAAGATTTTGTTTTCTTCAACACCCCTCAATGTTTCCACTCCAGTCATTCTGAAAGAAGCCACCTAGATTTTCTCAAAGGAGGTTTGAATAATTGTTTTGAGCAAAATCAGCATTTTGCTGTGGAACTGAGAGATCAGAAATCACCTTTCTTGCTTAATGTTAAATAATTTCTGACCAGCTCTGCTATTTACAGGAACTAGAGATGGGAATCAGTGGCACTTCTTATCTGAAGCAGAGGGGCCCTGGGAGAATTACATCACATGTAACCTCAGCCGAACACACTTTTTGCTTATCTTACAAGGACATTTTCAGACATTATGAACATTTTGGATAATATGGAAAATGGGTGATAGACAAATGGCTTTATCTTCCATATTAGAGTCATACTTAACACGAGCTTACATTGCGAATTAGCTGGTGAAAGGGTAATGCATGACAAATAGTCATTTAGAAATGAGCAGTCAATATTTATGGAGCTTATCAGATCGAATATAACGTTGTTATCTGCAGCAGCTCTTCCTGATGTGCCTATAGTAGTTACGGCACAGAATACTTCTGAATTGTGCGGGGTGCTGTACAAATCAGTAAGAGAGGATCCCTACGTTAGAGAATTTGCAATGTAAATGTCAAAATCGGACAGACTGGGGTCTGTCAGACCAACGTGGGGTGAAAGAGAGTAACAGAGATCTCTGCTCAACTCACCGTGCTGGCTAGTGGGAGAGTAAGTGTATTTATTTGTTTTCACATTTAGCTAGTTAAAATACACTGAAAGGCTGGTGTAAAGTCTAGCGTTTCCATCCTTAGAACAAGTCTTCTTCATGTAAATATTATATGGTTATGGAGTCGGACTGTGTTAATTAGTCTATTAACAAGGCAGATGAGCCACCTGCCTGTCGCAGATCTTTCCTTGAGATCTGGGTTGCCTGTTGATCAGCTGGAGACACTGTTTCCCCCTGGCCACCTCTCTGAGCATCTCTCTGACCTGGGCAGGGGGCTGGTTATGGGCCAGTTGAATTGTTTGGGATGTCTACTCTCAACAGCCCTGTGGTCCTTCTGTAGTCCCCTGACCAAAGTTAACCCCCTCTGTCTGACCAGGTACATGCTAGATGATGTAAAGAGCATGAAGGTATATTCAGGAAGAGGAGGCTGGTGGGTTTTGGAGCCTCTCTCATATCTCCAAACCAGAAAAAGCAGTGGGCTGGGTGAATCCTGGGCTTCGATTCAGTTTATCAGCTGTTGTCTCTTTGAAGCCCTGTTCAGAGCGAGATAAGACATGTGTGTGTGTATGTCAGTAGGACGAAAGCAAAGTTGTTTTCAGAGGATATCTGTGACCCCAAGCTGCCAAAGATAACCTTGCACCTACTTTCCCTGGCTGGAAAAGCAGTGCTGTGACTGCAACACATACGACAGAATCAACCAACTCTTCTGGAACAGGCTTCCTAGAGAGGTGGTCGATGCCCCAAGCCTGTCAGTGATAAAGAGGCATTTGGACAATGCCCTTAATAACACGCTTTAACTTTGGGTAAGCCCTGAATTGGTCAAGCAGTTGGACTAGATGATCATTGTAGGTTCCTTCCAACTGAAATATTCTAGTCTAGTCTAGTCTAGTCTGTGTTTGTACATTTAAGAGCTTTTTCCTAGAGGAGCTTTTTTTTGTGACCTTAGATACTGCTCAGTGACTGTAAAGGGAGAGGGGTTAGCGATATGGCCAGTTGCTCCAAGTATGGGAATACACTTGTGTGCTTCTCAGGTGCATCTCGTATTTCTTTTTGGCCCTTGGGCATGTCCCTGTGTTCTCAGTGTCAGCTCCAGACTCCCTCCTCTCTCACACAGCAACGCTGCATCCAGCTCCTGGAGGCTGGCATCCTTCTGATCCATGCTTTCTTGGTCTCATCCTCTTGCTTGTTCCCATGGCACGAGAATTACGACTGCTTCATTCCCCCTGGCTTCATGGGGTGCTTCCAGAGGTGATATATGGGATTGCAGGGCAGGAGTTTGAGTTGCCTGTTGGTTAAAACAAAAAGGATAATTGACATGTGGAGTGCAGGCAGAACAGGTCTGTGTAACCGTAGCTGAAGGCTTTTTAAGGCGAGACTTTGACTTGCCTTGAATTGAGGTGCATTAAGGCAAAACATTTTTTAAGAAAATAACCAAGGTGAGCTAGAGTCACCTAGCTACAACACCTTCCTGTTCCTAAAGGTGTTGTACGGGTTCCCAGTCAGGTTTTACAACCAAGGCAGTAGATAGCATTGCTCCCTCCAGGTGTCCTGTCAAGCCCTTAGAGTCTGGTATCTCCATCCAGGCTGTGCTCAGCTAGAAACGATTGGAGGTGTTTAGGTGACAACTGCAATCGTGGCTGTGCCAGGGGTTGAACAAAAGACCTGCAAAACTGAATGCATGAGTTTCTAGGGCCTCAGTTCAAAAAAGAGCAAACCAAATCAAAGACAGCACTGCTCCTGTAGCAGCTCCTGCCCTAATGGTGGGGCAGGATGGGGCAGGTAACGGACTCAGTTATATGCTGAGCTACCAGATCTGAATTTTACAAAATGGAGGCTCCTGGACATCAAAGTTTGGATGTGGGATGTCTGAGGACTTTGATTTGTGTTTCTCCAGCCTCTAGACCATGGAGACTCCGAGTGGGACGTGCCACCGTGGACATGGGCTTATAAATCTAAGACAAGTCTACTCCTGTTTGTCTGTTAGACTAACACTTGGCATTACTGACTGCTAGTGACCACACGTAATTACCAGCCTGGGAGTGTGTGTGTGGTCAGGAAGAGGGAGAATGGAGTCACAAAAAAAGGCTGGGAGCTGGTACAGTAGTTATTAGAAGATGAAGGTACATGTCAAGACATGATCTCTCAGGAAGCATGAGTGGCGATGCATCAGCACTGGCTAATCCAGGCCTGTGACATGACTGAGCCATGAGCAGTGGCTAACCCAGGCCTGGGACATGACTGTGGCACCAATCCCATGGCTGTGACCGCCGGCTGTCCTCTTCAGTCCAGCTCCCCTTTCTCCAGTTTAGCGCTGGGGTATCGGGATGATTTCACAGCGCAGCTGTCACTGGAATTAAACATTGTTCAGTTCGTAAAATGTCTTCCCTCACTGCCATGCAGCTGTTTTGCGTGTTTGATCCACACTCTGGTTTCTCCCTAAGCCAAAGCACTGCAGCCCCACTGCTGGAGGAAAGCAGAGGCAGTCGGGAGACTTGGGCTCTTTCTTTAGTTCTTTTATTATCATTGACAAAAGCTGATACAGAGCCCTTGGTGCTGGTGGGGAGAACAGAAAACTCCTCCATCAGTTACTTCTGTGCTTTCCCCACATCTGTCCTTCTGTGCACAGCCACCTCTCATCCTTCTGTGCCCTTTCAGATCACTCCGCTGAGCTCAATTCTGCTGCAAGATGCCTAAAACATTGGCTCTTGCACCAGCTGACCAGCTCAGCTGCTCACACTCACCTGGAATTGCTGCCCTGTGCCCTCTCCCTATGACCAGCCCGTTTGCTATTTACCCACCTGTAGCATCTTTACTTTTAAGGGCTTTTACTCTGATGGGAAGTGGCTGTTGCTATGTATAGAGTCAGGCTGGGTGGCCCCTGCCCTTCCTCTTGTTGGCATCACTAGGTGACAAGGTGCAGTGCAGAGATGTTCACGCTAGAGGACAAGCAGGCCACAAGAGCAGAATTTATTAACCTGGTGCTTCACCAGCTTGTTCGCATTTCTTTGGATTAGAGCAAACTCCTCTGTGTGGTGGTGTGGGGCAGGTACTGCAGTTCAGACTGATACTGCTTCATTTTTAGATAAGTCCTTAAAATACTTCTGCTGGGATCTAAGATCTTTTTTTTTATGTGAGAGCAGAACGCCTACTGTGGTAGGGCTTGATTATGGGTTTGGATGGCAGCTCAGGACAAATCAATACCATTAATAAGAAGTGTTATTGTTTAATTTTTTTCTATTCACTTATTTATTTGCACACCTTTTACCACAGACCATCAAAACCTCTCGTTTCTCCTTTCTGTTTTTATCCTCTTAAGAACCGTCAATACCCTTCAAGGAAAAACTGAAGGATCTTGAAGTGAGGGAGAAGGAATCTGCCACCTTCCAATGTGAAGTGCCTGTTCCTAGTACAGAGACAGCTTGGTACAAGGAGGAAACCAAGCTCCGGCAGAGCAAGAAATACAACATCGAAGAAGAGGGCACGTATCGCCGGCTCACTGTCCAGAACGTCACCACAGATGATGATGCTGTCTATATCTGTGAGATGAAAGAAGGGAGCAGGACCATCGCGGAGTTGTCTGTCCAAGGTAAGAAAGGCTTTTGCTATTTCAGATCAGCCAAGTCTCACCGACCAAGCGTGAGATTCACACATGAGACTCCAGACTCGACCTTGTGAACGGCATTTACCCCGTGCATGTGTGCAGTGAAGAACAGCAGACTCCCTTATGGGTGAGAGGAGAGCCACGTGTGGTCGGTCAGTGGGTCCCCGGGTCTCCTGCCAGGGTGTATCTGGGACACAGGGTCAGAGAGCAGGGACAGATTGTGCTGCTGCACAAGATACGTCACCTGGTGGGGACCTATGCTTAAAGGGGTTTTCGTAGAAGGCAAAGTCCTTGAGCTGTAGCCTAGCACTGTAGACTTTCCTTAACGTGATCCCAAGCATCGGATGTGTCCCCTGGCACTGTCTCACGCACATCTGTCTGGTGAGGACAACGATGAATCTTGTCCTGGCACTGTCTCACGCACATCTGTCTGGTGTCCGGCGAGCACAATGGTGAATCTTGTCTGAGAGTGGTGCTGACCACACTGGGAAGCTGGCTTAGCAGTTGTGGTTTATGGTCCGATGTGTGGCGCAGGCTGCGGTCAGCACCAGCATGGTTTCAGATTGGAAACCAGATCCACGCTCCAGATCTCTGACATCTGGACCTGTTCTCTGGAGTTTGGAAAGCTGATGAGAAAGTGGCAAAATGTGGATAGAGAACCATGTCCAAGTCTCCCGAGTCTGGCGGTTTAGGACTGAAGTGCAAGTAGGTGTAGAGCCTGGGATGGTGGAGGTGTCTCACAGCCAGTAGACATGCACATCAGACACAGGCATGTCTGCAGAAGGGGCCATCAGTTCTGAAGTCCGTGACTTGCTGTATGAATAAGAAGCTACCCATGCAACTCCAGGACCTGTAATTTTTATTTTGATGATGCTTATGCTGGTATCATTGACATGTCCTGTGGCGTGAATTGAAGATCTGTAATAGTAAGAGGATTGCACTTGTCCTGTCTCATTTGAAGCCTGACTTTACTCCCAGTGAAACCAGAAGTTGTTCTCCGCTGCATAAATTGGTGCAAGACAGGCGGGTGCCATGCATCGTCCCGCAAATTCCTTTTTGTATCATTAGCAAAGAGATGAGAATGCACGTGGGTGGAGGTAGAAGGGGACATTTAGTCCAGAGACACAGGAGGGTTCAGACAGACATCTTTTTGTTACACCTTCTGTTAGGGCTAGACCAGCCAAACACTGCAAGCGTGTTTGGCCCTGGTAGGACAGCTGGTATTTGTTTTACCTGTTTGTGCTATGGTACTACGGCAATGTTCCATTAAAAAAGAGAGTGACTGGGCCAGGTGGAGCTCTCGGGAGGGAAAGGAGGCAGAGCCTTCCTGGGGGAGCCCTGTGCCTGCCCCGGGGGGAGAAGATTCGAGCGAGCAGGGTGAGGTTGGGCAAATGAGAGAGCGTGGCAGGATGCAAAGGGCTGCGGGGACAGGGACACTGCTGAGGGCAGCAAGGAGCAGACACGCGCCCGAGCTTTGGAGAGGGTGAGCAGAGAATCAGGGTCTTGAATCCTACTGATGAAACATGTGCCTGATCTGTTGCTTCATGAAGGAGTTCAGCCTTGCTTCTCATTAAATAGCTCTAGGGCTTTGCCTGGGTGAGGGCTCTTTTGCCTCACAGGGACTGTTCCAGGGCTGGAGCCGGTCACCATCTGTCAATAGGGGTGGTTCCCTGATGCTTTGTCCAACCTTTCCTGTGAATAGTCCCATCTTGTAACTTTGAGGTTATTCTAATAAGTGATAATCATCACAGTCGCTTGGAAAGGACACAAATAAGTGAAGTTCATTCCGTGTGAATTTGTGGGTTGACTCTAAGAAGAAATCTGAGGTTTTCAATGTATTTTCTATTAATTCAGGTGACTGGCGTGTTTGCCATCTTGCTTATGTAACTTACTGGTAACTTTGGTGGAGGCAAAATCCCAAAGACAGACGAGAGACCTGTCTGGTTTAAGACTGACCTACTTTAGCAAAGTTTTAATTTGAATTCCCAGCACATGCGGGCAATGAAAGCCATATCACTGTCAAATCTGTTCTTGGCAAGGCTGCGTACCTTGTGTTTACCCAACAGCAGAGTCTGCGTGTTAGGCTAGAAACATGAGCGACTGTAGTCAAACAAGATTGCTTTTCTCTCTTTGAAGGCCAAAATGAGTCCTTGGGATTATCTGTTCTGTATAACTCAGAGCCTAGGAATTCATTTAGGGATGTCTGCATAGTGTCTACAAGGTTTTGATTAGGTGAGAGCTGTTGGCTAGTCCTCTTGTAGTCTGGATGGTCCAGTGTTGCCAGAGACTTTAATGTCTGCTGTTTGCTGATAACAATTAATTTCTTATTGAAAGGGAACATCATTAAAAAACTTCCACGAAAGACTGCGGTGTTCACAAACGATACAGCCATCTTCTGTGTGGAGCTGGACAATGAATGCCAGAACATCCGATGGCTGAAAAATAAACAAGAAGTGAAACCCAGTGATCGAATCTCCATCACGTGCTCCGGCAAGCAACATACCATGATCATCCGAGAGTGTAAGATGGAAGATGCTGGTGAGATTGCCTTCCTGGCTGATGAAAGCAGGACGTCTACCCAGTTCACTGTGACCAGTAAGCTTCACTTTTATTTGGCATTGGTGTTGGGCCTTCCCTAGCAAGCAGGTACTCCCGTGTTAGCACTGTTGTTTTAGGTACTGCCATGGTAAGTTTGTTGTCCAAAGACAGCAGAAGGTTCGATGTCTGCCACAAAAGGCCGACAGCCTGAACGCTAGCGTTATGAAATGTTACGGAGAGATCAAAACAGAGAGAGAAGAGTCCTGGGGAAAGAGCACGGCTCAAACGTGTGTTTTCTCTGTACCATTCTCATTCCGTGCTGGAGTGAATGTAAACTAATAACCGAGTAAAACGCGGGGTAAGGGACATGCGTGTTTTCCCCATCAGGAGGTGCTTAGAAAACGTCATGTAAGTTGCATACATTGCAGTCGCCTTACTTCATTGTACACAGAGCGCTGCGGGTGCTCCACCTACACGCTGACCTCCATTTTCCAAAATCATTAGTTTCTTTGAGGGGCATTTATCAATTCTTGCTATGGGGATAATACTCCTTCTAGCAAATAGGGACCACTTATCTCCCCCTCTCTCCCTTCGCTGGGGATTTGGAGGGGAGAGTCAGTGAGCATTTAATTCCTTCCCTAGGTCTTGAGTCTACAGAGACATGAGGGTACCTTGTGGGTGTGCTGGCTATGATGGGGAAGTGGATAGGTGCCCTGAACATTTTTGGCAGAGTATTTCCATTCTAGCAAGCAAAAACATCTGTGAAGGAACATCTATGCACACGCACATGAAGCATTTCGGGGACAGTCAAGCGTTCACCAAACTTGAAATATTTTACTTTGATTTTAGCTTCTTAAGCTGTTTGCATTAAAGTAAAATATAGATAGATAGATAGATGAAAAAAAAACCTGCAAAATATAGATAGATAGATAGATAGATAGATTAAAAAAAACCTGTAAGAAAAAGGGGAAATGTTTCCTCCTGAAAATATAATTTCCTTCCTTTTGTGGAGACCAGCAAAGCCGTGTCCTCTCTCATCTCCTCTTTGCCATGACAAAGCTGGGAAGACCCTGTGAACTGATGGTAGCTATGCTGAAAGAGGGGACTTTTGTCTTGATTAGCTTTAGCTGGGGAGACTGATATAATATGCAGGCTGGAGAATTCCTTCAGCTGGCACATCTGATCTGAGCAAGGGTTTCCGTTGACAAATCAGTAGCAGCAGGTGCAGTGTAGTTGAGATCACACCTGAAATGAAATTTTGGTGAAGTTGCCTAGTTTTATGAAGCTTTATTTTGATGGCATTGCATTTCCTAGGCAAAAGCTGCTTCATTTAAGGCACAGAACTGCGTGTGGTTTCTGGCTCTGCTGCAGTTCCAATTTGCATGTGAGCAAGCCACCAACTCTAGTCACCGTTTGGGAAGAGTAATACTTCTCTTCTCCCACCACCACCTCCAAATTGCAATTACTGAGTGGTAAAAAGAAATCTTTAAATAAAGGTTTATAACTGCTGTGTTATCTAAACTTGGCTGGGGCATTCTCATGCTATTGAGCTAAAATGAGGAAAAAATGAGGTAAGTAAGCGTTGCACTTAGCATTGTGACAGTTTCTAAGGTATTTGGAAGTCTTTAACATTCAACCAAGCACCTATTCAATGGGAACGGCAAAGTTCAGTTTGATTTCAGACTCTGCTGTTTAAGTTATGAAGCAAGTATTGATTTACTGAATAGAAAGAGGTGAGAAGCTGCCTTCCCACAAACAGGCATCTCTGAACAAAACATTACATTACAGTTTCTGATGGTAAGGTCAAGAGATCTGCTTCCAGGGTCTAGCGTTCAGCTTAGTGCTACACTAATGGGACCTTTGGCATCCAGCTCTGACCAGCAGTAACTGACAGGCTGGTAGCTGTGCACCCCAAAACACTCATGTGTCTATTTATGTCATGAAGGAAAAGTGTATCGCATTGAGATTTCCTACTTTTACACTTCATGAATATCCGATTAGCTGCTTGAAGAATCCTGTGTACCACGTTCACGTATTTTTTCAATTAGCGACACAAGATCGGTGTTGGCTGTTTTAATAGCATTTATCTGGCAAGCAATGGTTATATATTATTTGCTCAGTATCTTGCATTGTTACTATGCCCATTTTACAGATGGGTAAAATGAGGCAGAGAGAAGATCAGTTGTCCCAGAGTTCGGTTTTTAGTCTAGGCCCATTGTACAGGCTCCCTCTATAGGCATGAATACTTGAGCATCAGCAATGTGTGATTCATTTCACCCAGCTCGCACACCTTCTTTAAGCTGGGATGAATTGCTCCTGAGTGTGCTGTTCTCCATGGGATTACAGTTGGAGTCTGGATGATTGACTTAAACCAGACACCTAACTTTCAGATAACCAAAATTAAACGAAATGGATCCTTTACCGTGTCAGTAGATGTCTAACTACAGCATATCAGATAATTCCTAGCCTCTTGACTGTATCAGTGGCAGCACATAGTGAATAACCCTGATAAGACTTGAGCCTTCTCTAACGGGTTCAAGAGGAATGAGAGGGTGAACGTAAACCTTTGTTATGCAAATACCTGCAGGGGTACAGTTGTGACCTCAGGTAGTGTAAAATAGCCACGTCTCCTCGATTGTAGGGTCTGACGGTGGGGACATTTCTTTGTCATTTCCTTTTGAAGTTAATTCCCCAACCCCAAAAGCTGACTCTGCATAAATTACTAAAACAGAAATCCCCAATGATAGCTATCACTCTTGGGAAACAAAGTTACAACACGCCTTCTGAGTGGAGGTAGCATAAAATTCAGAAGCAGGACAGAGGACAGACACCCAGATGAAAGGAGCTGCAGAGAACAGTCAAGCCTGTGCAACAAGCAACTGAGATCTCCGTAACTCTAAAACCCATGCGCTGTTTATTCATGTCTACCTTTTATCTCTGAAATATCCCAGTTGTACAATGGTTAGCTGGTCTGTGTTTAAGACTGTTGAGGATCTGGACTGAAATGTTTTAGTGTCAGTTGGAACAGGTTCTCGAGAAGAAATGGAGGACGTAGACTCCTGGCTCAGGCTGCTTTTTTATGGAGTGGATTTACATTTGTCCTGGTTTCGGCAGACAAACCATGACAACATTGCTGTGCAGGGTGCCACACCTGTGTGTAAAGCATTGCAAAATATCGCCGCGCTCTTCTTTGATGCAATGGTACATTGCCACGCATTGGTTCTCTCAGGCACATCTACGTTCCTGACTGCAGGGACGTGCGTGGTTGAAATTCTGACAGAAGATAAATACCAGCAGACTTACAATATTAGTGCAACTATCCCCGTGCAATGATGTCTAGCAAGCAGGGCAAAATTGTGCCGCCTTGCCAGAGTAATCCCATTGAGGTATTTTTATTTTTATTTAGCCTGGATTCACACCAGGGAAGTGGAACAGGAATTTGATGCACAGAATTTTGAACAACCTCTGATGGTGGTTTTACCCATCTTCGGAGCGAAAATAAGAAGCTGAGTGTTAGTCTGCGTTGCCCAGGAGCTGTATAGGAAGCGGTGTGGGTCTGTATCTAGCACTGAAAATTTAAGCCTATGAATTGTTCATTGTAGACTCTCTGTCTGTGCAGACAATTGTAATATTGTGTTGAAATCACATATGTTTAGCTGTGGAGGTAGGAGTATTGTACATCTTTGTGTAATGCAGCCCAAAAGCATCTTCTATCCATTCTCTTGCTTTTCCATCTCACATCAATGTTTTAAGGAGATTTATTAAGCAAAAGTAGCTTTTAGTCCAGTGTAAGCTTTTTCAGTGAGGTACAGTGGCTTTTCCACTCTGACGTAAACTTCTTGCTCTGTTTGTTGTTTTTTTTCTTTTTTTCCCCCTCGTGCAGCTCCCAAAAAACCTCCCACCCAACCCCCAGCTGACCCTGTGGTGAAAAATAAAACAGAAACCTCAGTGACGCTGGCATGGTCCCCTCCGAAGATGGACCGCCCCATTCCAATCGATGGCTACGTTGTGGAACGCAAGAAACTAACTGGCTTTGCCTGGGTGAGGTGCCATGAGTCTCATGTCCCTGTCCCAGAGTTCACGGTGAGCAACCTGTCGGAAGAGGCTGACTATCAGTTCAGAGTGTCTGCAGTCAACGCCTACGGACAGAGCCCCTACCTGGAGTTCCCAGGGAGCGTGCACCTTGGTGAGCACAAAACCATCATAAAATGGGTCAGTCTGTGCTGATCTGCCACGTGGGTGCTCTAAAGACGTATCCCATGACTTTGAGGGGGATAGAGCAATAGCACAGCAAAACCTTTCTCATTTCAACCGCTGACCATTGCCAACGTGATAGTGGTTGGGTTTCTGTGATAAAGCTGAGAGTATGCTTATATTCCAATATCTCACATCAGGCTGTGTGAGAGGCAGAGGTCTCTGCAATGGACCTTAAGCCTGTAAAGGCTTCTTCTAGACCTGGTATGAAAGGAAAAATTGAGGTGGGCTTATAATATAATTTTCAGTATACAAATGAGATATCAAACTTGCACCTAGAGAATATTTATGGGTGATCATACTGTCATGAAAACCAGGTTCCAGTCAGTCTCTCTTTAATCTTAGAGTTACTAGGAGAAATATGGGGGGTTTACTTTATTTCTAGGGTGCCAATGTGCCCGTAGAATTATTGTGAGCAATGGGATTGCTTCTTCCTTTGATTCGTTGGTGGTTCAGACTTGTTATGCCTTTAAACATCTTAGGGGAAAAAAATAAGTAAAATATGCCTGTTGTTCTTTCCCTGCAGAAAGAGGACTTACCCTAACGCCAGAGGTCAGTTACCTGCAGCTGTAGAAATCAAATCCTGTTGACCAACTGTGCGTTGCCTTCAGTGCATGCAAATTGTATAAGGCTGCAGGATTTTATTCTCATGTCTTGTTTACCCCAAGAGCTTTGTTCTTAGGAAGGACTATTCTCCAGCGTGGCAGTCTTGTGTCCTTTGGTCTCAGAGATACATGTTGTTCTTCTTCCCCAGAACCAGTCCCAGCTGTGAAAACCCCCCTGACAACTGTTGAAGCTGTACCTGGAGGGGATGCTCTGTTTACCATTGACCTCACGACGACATGTTCCGGCACTTGGTACCTTAATGGTAAAGTCTTACAGGAAAGTGAGACCTACATCATTAAGAGAACCCAAACTACTCATACCCTAATCATAAAGAATGTCACCAAGAACGACGATGGAGCAGAAGTGAAATTTGTTGCCAATAATGTTGACACCAGCACCAAGATGAGAGTGAAAGGTATTTACTTTGACCACTGTCCTTTCTTCTTCCAGTCAAGGGGCGGCTGCTGTGACCTGATGGTTAGGACTGGGTCTGGAGGCTTTCACTGATGCCTGGACTGTAGGAAGTACCTGAAATTGCATCATATGAACTAATGTGGGTCCTGGTAATGACCTAACCATGATAGCACAGAGTTCAGAGTGAATCTGTGGATCTAGACAGCTGCTTGGTATCTGAACCAGACTGCTTAAGATCAGCTCACAAATTTCTGTAGTTTACAACCATCAGTGAGTGGATTCTGTCACCAGATCTACCACTGAGTCACCTTAGACCAGTAACTTCAGCTCCAGGTTTGGCTAGTCTTTCTGACTGTAGTGGAGTCTTTCAAAAGTTGAGGAGTGTTTATTATTAACAAAGTTTTTCTCTTGGAGGTTTTTTAGTCTACCACAGACGTGTGTGATGTACAAGTTAGTATCATGTAACTCGATTTAGCATTGAGAGCTGCGTGCTTCAGCTTTCCTCTATGAAATGACGGTAAGATCTGTATCTACCCACATTGCATGGCAAAAGGTAATGAATAGATATTCATTCTGGAAGGATGTGTTTGACTTTGGGTGAAAATCTCTGCAGAAGCATGTTTAGAATATTATTAATCATTAGACATTTGTGCATTTTTTTTTTCTTAGTGACTCTGGCAATAAAACCAGATTGGGTCTCCTGAACTGGAAAAAATTGCTTGGTATCGATGTGAGTGTGAGGGCAGGAACAGGACCTAATACTTTTTCAAAGATCTCACGGTCTACAGCAGACACATATCAGGGACACGTTAACCTGATATAACTTGAAATAACAAGGCCTTTGCTCCTGACAGGTGCCGCAGTGAGATTTACCAACAAGAGCAGAGATATAGAAAAGGTCTCTGCTCGGCTGCGGGAGGAGGCCAAACTTCAGGCTGAGCTTTCGGACACAGAGGCTACGGTGAAGTGGATGAAGGATGGGAAAGAGCTCAAGGCCGGTGAAAAATACGAGCTTCAAACTGTGGGGAAGAGGCACATCCTGAAAATTCGCAACACTGCAGCAGAGGATGCTGGAGTTTATGAGTGCATTTGTGAAGGGGATAAAATACTCTATCAGCTTTCAGTGAAAGGTATGTGACTGCCTGGGCTGCTCTGTATTAACAGCCCGCTCCTGCCCTAAGCCAATAGAGTCGTCAAGGGACAGAAAGGGAGCGCTCCAGAGGCGGTGCAGGGAGTTGCGGTAACTCCCCATCAACATCGAGAGTTGACAGTGTCTGTAGTCCCAGAGTAGGAGAACTTGGGAGTAAACTTGGGATCTAACACTGTCTCAGTGGTAAGAGCTGTGCTTTCGCTCAAATTGACGTGTTGTTACTTCATGAGATTGAATGGTGGGTAGTGAAAAGGCGCTCTTGTGATGAAGAAATTCACCCACAGGGGCAGGACGTGATGCACGTGATCCCATGTCTGCCCTAAACTTGCGATGTGATATCGGACAAGTCACTGGGGAGCTAGTTCAGCTCTGATTAAAGTTCCGATGGACCAAGATCATCTTGGCATTGTGGGGTTCTTTTGTTATTTCGTTGCTTTTTGTTTTCTGTCAATACCCTGGTGAGTAAGAACAGACCTTTCCAGGGCACACTGGATGGCTTGACTCATTTCTATTTGCAAGGTATTCAGATGGAGGGCAGTATAGAACAAACAGCAAAATGTCATTTTCTTTTAATATTTCCCGTTTGTTAGATTTGAACCAGTACTGCTTTATAGCTGCCCCGTTGTTTGGCTGTTCTTGTTTTCATGGCAGTCCCTCCCCTCCTGATTGCCTGCTGCCTCGCTGGTGGGCACATCCACGCCCAGAGCAAGACATGGAGTCTTGAACCTTTACCCTGAAACCAACAGCATTCAGCCTCCCTCTTACAAGCCTTTCCATCTGTGCAAGCTTTTATGAACTAGTTCATAGGAGAGTTTCCTCTGCCTTGAGCGGGACCGGGTTTTGGCTGAAAAGCCCCAGTGTATCCCCAGATCATTCCTCAAGGGTATCATCTAGATGTCTACTGAGGTTCAGAGTACAAAACCTGACTCCAAGGCAGTCTAGCCTGTTGTCAGACATTGTCTGGGGTGAGCTCCGTAGCTATTTTGCTCTGAACTGGCACGTTCACTTTGTAAAGCCATTTGATTTCTGTGTTCTGTCCCGTAACTCACCCCTCACAACCTTCCCAGCAATGATCACACTGCTTCTACACGGAGTACGTATGAGGTGCTTCATCATTTTATTCCGCTGGCTTCTTGCCCTTCTTGGTCTCTGTAGAAACAACAAAGCCCCAGAGTAATGTATGTGTTTTGCATTTGACAACTTACTTGCTCGGTTATTCTCAAAGAGCAAACTTAAAAGAGGCACGAAGAGAGCTGAAAAAAGTAATTTAAAAATGTGACTACATTTATGGAGGGAGGAATTTGCTGTCTACGCTCGGCAGCTGTTCTTAATTTTGGTTGTCTTTTCTCTCTTTCTCTGTCTGCCTCTTTAGCATGATTTTTCACACTGGCAGATCTACCCACAGATTTAATTGAATTAGCTGATGGACGTTTCCATGTGCTTTTCACCGTAATGTGACTATCAAATGAGTAATCAATGCTATTATTTAAAATCTGTGTTGACAAGCTGTAACTTAAACATCTGCTGTTTGTAGCTTGATTCCTGGAGAATCAGCTTTGATATATCTCATCCTTGTAGGACGAGGCTCACAAATGCTGTCACAGTATTTTACCTTTCAGCATCGCCACCTTTTAGCTGTTTCTCCTGTAAATCAAACACAGCTAGCTGGTGAATCATTTGATGTGCAGGTCAGCTGTGTCTGGCACATGAGCATCACGTGGCTGCCAAGAGGCCACCGTGCTGAGCCATGGCCAGAGGCGTGTCACTCGCTGGGCCTCCTGCCCAAAAGAGCCCTGCTAGAAAATGCACTTGCCATTTATCACTGCAGTCCCTCCACTGCCATGAGACTTCACGTGCCAGGCGTCCTCTGACACATGACCTCCCGTGTTGAAACGGGACATCTGAGAAGTCTCCTTCGGACTGCCGTGGCTGTATTTTCCACTCTAGTTTTCTAAGGAAGTGGAAGGTGCATGAATGAACCCACCTCCCTCTTCTTCCTCCCAAACCTTTTAACCTGTGGGCTGAGTTCCAGTAATGCTGGTGGAGAAGTAGAGGTCTCAGCAGTGTTTGGCCCCTGCAGGCTTCATGGGCGTAGGTGGCTGGGTAGAGGAGAAGGACTGCGGTGTTGTCCTACTGAAAGGAAAGCTCCACAGTTACGAGCCATTAGAGAAACAAGTGGAAAGAGAGGCCCCCCAAAAAAACAGGAAAAAAGGGAGCTTTTCCCTGGTTTAAATGCTTCTGGTATGACTTTACCTATAGATATTACTTCTAATAAACAGACTTAGTAAACCCTAGAAAACAGGGCTGGTAGGGACCTGGAGAGGTAAAATGCAAGCTCCTGTCCCTGCCAGAAGCTGGTGATTGAACGGAGTCCCTTGAGGACCAGAACTGGAGAGGCCCTTGGCTGCACCGTCACGTCCTTCCCTTCCCTTTCCCTGTTTATTTGCTCGTGGGGTATTTCTTAGTCTTACATTGGGGGAGATTTGGGACTGGGGTTTTCTTTTTCTTTCTTTGTGTACTGCTTGGCAAGTCAATTCGCTCTCCATTTTTATGTCTCCAGACTCTGCCACTGTACAAGCTGGTGAATATTGGTTCCCTACCCAATATTTGTCTGTAATTAAAAGCACTACCACAGACTTGGAGAAATCTAATGTACTTAAAAGCAAGGAAACTAAATGCAAACTCCATCCTTGTGGAAAGGGTCTTTGAGCTAAAGGAGAACCGCTATGTGTTGCACCGGGACGTAGCACCGATAATAACACCTTTGGAGCAAAATTCTGAGAGAGTCATGCTTAGCTGGTCCAGACCATGGACCGTAACCGCTTGTTGCAGTATCAGCAGTGAAAGCTAATAACTGCTTTTGCCAGGCGTTCTGCAGAGAGTTGTTAGTTTGTATTGTGCAAGCATGTTCTTGAAATTAAGGATGAAAAGCATACACGATCGAGGCTTTGATTTTTAGTAGCTTTGACTGCACAGTCCCAACAAAGTGACTTGATTGTGTGTGTTGTTTTAAAATAATACGTTAAGGAGATGTTTGAGAATTAATTCCATTATCTAGAGTAAAATGGGACTGTGGTTTTAGGCTCATATTTTTAGCTAAGATGTTGGTGGGTTTTTGAATCTTTGCGTTGAGGTAATTGGTGACTCAGTTATTCCACTATGTGTTAATATGGCGCCAGATTTATTATTTACCTTCTATGCTCCAGTTAATTTCCAGGAAGAAATTTCTTTTCATTTCAGTCCTATGTGATATCTGTATAGATTTTTAATTTAATATAATTTAATTTATCTAGATGACATTTTAACCTCTTTTAGAGTCGACTTATTTGCCAGGTGGTTACAATACAATGATTGAATAACCTTCATTGCTTTCCCTCCCGTCTGCTTGTGTCATATCTTTCCTCACCTCTCCCAGATATTTTCTTAAAGCCCTATTGCCTGGGACTTCCTCTCCCGTTGGCTCAGCCTCCTGTGTTGTATGTGCTCTGGTTTTTGGATGTATGATAATCAGGTATATGGTTTATAAAGGCTGGATTTTGGCTGTTTCTGCATTAGAATCTAGTAATTAGATCCATAATTAAACATGCATATTTGGTATTATGATAAATTAACACCTAATGTAGATGTAAGTGTTGTATATATTTACTGATGTCCACACAATTCTTTACCGGTGCTGTGTGTCTATATTTTTTTTCAGCACTTGCAAACTTCACAAACAAAGAGAAAACTGGAGGAGTTATCAGGGCCGTCTCTGGAAAACAGGCTGAATTTGTTTCTGAGACCTCTGAGGCCAACATCATGGTTAAGTGGTACAAAGATGGCAAAGAAATCACAGCCAGCAAGAAATTCACCATGGAAGATAAAGGAAAACTGCATAAGCTTGTGGCTTCAGCTGTGACAAAAGAAGATGAAGGAACATACACATGCAAAATTGGAGATGACACTCTTATTTTTGATTTAAAAGTCTCAGGTAAGTTTGTGATGCAAGTATGGGATCGGAGTCTGTGTTAGAAACTCAGGACTCGGTTCATTATACTTGTCTTACCTTGTAGAGTGCCAGTTTTTTGGGCCAAGATTACACAGTGCTATTTCAGAGACTCTGACCCCTATTGTGATCCCTATGCAAATCCACAATATGGATAAATAATATAACGATGCTGTTATGTATTCAAGTAAGCACAAGCTTTTACTCGGGTTGGAGTCATGACTCAAACACCCCTCTGGCTGAACAGGCTGAGAGCCACATCTGGCCTTTATTCTTTTAGCTCAGGGATTGCCTCAGCATATACATCGTCTTTGAACCTCCTGACCGAGGTGGTCCTAAAATCTTACTGTGAAAGCCCTGTGTCCTCCTTTGACAAGTTTAGCTGCTGATCTTGAGAGTTAAGCGTCTCCTGCTATTCCCAAAGGACACTGTGATCCCTGAGACATCTCCCTGCGGTACTGTAAGTGAAGCCACTAGTTCATGGCACATGCCCGTCAGCATAAAGCACATGCTAAAGCACGTGGCCATCAGGTGAAGCCCAGAACAGAAATGCTTGTCACTGATGCGTTCCAGTCCAGGATGGAGCCAGAGTATAAAATGACACAAGAATTTATCTGTGAAATTCAATACCTGTGAATTTCAACTGATTCAATTTGCATGGCCTGGTGGGAACCTTTCTTCTAAAAGTGGTTTTCTGGCTTATGTCTGGAGCCTAATTTTTAACCCAGTCCTAAGTTACAAATTGAAACTCTACTGAAAGCTCCTCGTGGTGTGTCTACATGCTGCAGTGCGAAGCAATTTAAGAGAAGTAACAACTGAGTGCTTGTGACCTGTAGCAGTACATCCATGTTACCATGACGCTGTCCATCAGCTAACTAAAAACTCATCAGAGCTGATTAATCTAGCACTGGTCTTGAGGGATTGCTACAGGGTTTACTGAGCTAGAGGGACTGCTTCCAGCTTGCAGCCGGTGTTTGCTCAGGTGTTCATTCTGCATCCTGCCTCCAGTTCTCTTTGGTTGAGAACCCAACATTATGCAATTTCACTTTGAGTGCAATTCATAGTCCCTGATTTTACCCGTTGGAAAATTGGTCTAGAAGAGCCAACCAGGCTCTATCCAAACCGATTCATGCAGCATGAAATGTACCCCCAAAAGGCAATTTATACCATCTGATCTATACTGTCTGATGAGAGCTATCTAAGATGGATTTTAAAAGTTTTCTGGAGCTACCTTTGTCTGAACATCAAGTACAGAGGAAGCCTGCGTGGTTGCCTGAGACTGGATACCTAACTTTCTGATGACCGTGTGTAGCTTAGGTGAATCTCACCTGTAACTCCTATGACAAAACATCACATGGCTCAGACAAAGAAAACTGGTATCTGCTAAGTAACTCTGTATCTCCATGAACTTTTTAATGAACAAGGATTGAGTTACAGCCTGTTAACAAAACCTTAGCTAGGGTCACCATAAAAAGTTTCCAGAGTGCTAAGAAGCACTGCACAGTCAGGGGATGGTCTTAGGGCAGGGAAGTAATCTGTCTTTATGGTAATGAGTTACCCTAATAATCTTGAACTGCAGGACCCTGGAGAGACTATCCTTCCTTAGTCATCTGATTTTTAAAATATAAATCAGTCCTAATGATTTTTAATGAAGTATTTATTCTCTCATGCCGCAGACGTGCCTGGCATGGGTGTAGCATAGCAATTGTCCTTGGGATACTCAGTGACTGAAAGCAACAGTTGCCGCTAAAAAAAATGCGATACTAAGCTAAGGTTGGCTATAACTGACAGCCATCAGCTTGCTCTTCAGGCAAGGGCTGGCTTGGTGGAATGAAGGGTATGAAATACCTGACGTGCTCATCAAACATTGCTCGTTAGCTTAGGGACAGGGTGTGCTGGATAGGTTTGCTCACATTTTACACACAAGGTGCCTGTCTCCACTTACTTAGTTGCCTTCGCTTTTACCTTTACAAATACACTTGCAAAAAACCTGAGCTGATAAAAAGGCTGTATCGTTGCTGCGTACATGACACACGCTCTGTGTGCGTGTGTGCAGGCACGGCTCATACGTGTGGCCACCAGTCTGTGCAGTCAGCAGAGTTTGAGCTGAGGTATCGAAACAGGAACCTCTGCTGCTTGAGCTATATGAGTTGTGAGCAGTTGTGGGTTCTCTACTGTGAAGATCAGTTTCAGCAGAAAGATGTGACACTGCTGGCTCAATATGTTAACTTAGTCCTCCTGGAGTTGATCCTGATCTGGTCTGGGGAAGAATTAGTCCAGTTGGACTGATGTTGTGAACATGGGGCTGCAGGAATGGGCTCAGAAACATGTAAAAAAAGGCTCCTCATCACTTCTAACAAGACTTTCTGAGACTTCTTAGATCTTTTCAAAGCTTTTTGTGGATTTGGGCATCAATACATATTCCCTAGAGCTTGCTTGAAATCGGAAACAAGGAGTGGTGATTAAAGCGTCAGCAACTTGAGGGCATCTCAGCTTGATTTAAAAGATCCAGAAGGATGTAGGAGAGATGAATGTGATTGCACTGTAACCGAGAGCAATTATCTGAAGATTAGAGAAGGAGTTTGCACCATCTGTCAGAAAGTCAAGCATCAACATTCATGTGTTTGATGAGACAGGAGCTGTGAATTAAAGCACGCGTCAGGCTTTATGGTCTCATGATGTTGGGCCAGGTTCTGCTCGTAGCTCTGTGCACATACAACTCTGGTAATAGAAACCACCGCGTCTGTGCTCTGTAGGAGCTTTCATGCCTGACTTCTGAAAGGGGGACAGAAAATGGATGCATATCAGTTAGGTGGATTTTGGTTATGAATCCAGGCCGGCATAGATCCATGTCTATCTAGAACTTAATAAGGCTAGTATTAATGCCACAGCGTAGACCTACTAGGCTGATATAATATAAAGGATTGATCAATTCCCAGCTCCCAAACTGGAGACCATTATTTACTAACTCTCTGGCTGATTTAAAACTTGGACAATGAGTTCCCCAGAAGAGATAACGCTGCTGTATCTTAGGAGGGCCTTTTCTGACTCATAACCACAGTTTATTGCCATAACTGTTAACACTCTGTCATAGTTACATTGCAACACTACCATGCACACATATGTACATTTAGACCTCCAGAGGTGAAACTTGATCACCCAAGTGTGACCGGCAATGAGATAACGATCAGCCATTACTGCATCTTAACATTGCGCTGATAAGCCTGGATCAAGGCATAAACTGCTTTCTCTTTTTCTTTTCAGATGAAGCTGTTAATTTTGTCAACAAGCCCAAAACAACTCCAGAAATATCAGTCAGTCCTTCTGAAAACCTTGAGCTGGTGTGTGAGGTGTCAGCTGCCAGCGGAGCCGTGGTATGGAAGAAGGATCAAACTGAGGTGAAGCAGGACCAGAGGACAACAGTCATCTCCCAGGGGACACACCGCAAGCTCATCATCAAGAAGGTGACACAGCAAGACCAAGGGAGCTATACCTGTGAAACAAAGGATGACAGAACAACATTCCAAGTCAAAGTCAGAGGTGAGAAAATGCTAGAAATGCCAAAGTTAAAGGAATATTCCATTTTGGGTAGTATCTTACATTAGGATGGTCATTTTGCAACCTCTCTGGGGTGAAATATTTCAGCCATAGGACTTGATTTTCAGCCAACTGTCATATCAACATTTTATACACATGCTTTTGTATCCATGACTAGTAGTAACCACAAAAAAACGGTGGGCAAGGATGATAACTTCTGCACCTCTCACAGTTAGCTGGTGTGTCTGCAGAAAAACTCCTGCAGAATCACAGTGCGAGGCCATAACAGAGGTGCAGGGATAGATAAAAGGGAAGGGGGAGGTGTTTGAAGAGCTCTGATTAGATGGAGAATGACTGAATTTGAGTGACCCAAGTAGGCAGAAAAAGAGCAATGGTTCCTGGATATGAGGATACGAGGACTGTTCCCCTTGGATTCACTGGAAGCTTGGAGAGACATAGGAAGAGAAAAATAGAGCAGAGGGAGGAGGGTTCAGGCTGTGCATGTTGATGCTCCAAGTCCCAGGTTCAAATCTGTACTCAAATTCAGTTTTTAAACTTTATCCCAGAATTCCCATACCCCTATTCACCTCCTATCAGCAAAATAGAGATGAAGGTGTTTTCTTGTCTTAATGAGCTGTCATGATACTACCGGTCAAGTATAGTGAAATAGGGGGAACTTGATTAAGCACTGGAGAAGACAACTGCAAAAAGCTATGTGTGACTATTGTGGCTTTCTTACAGAGACAGAAGACGTGTTTACAAACAAGGACAAGGTACAAAAGGAGGTGAAGGCTGTACTGACACAAAACGCCACGCTGAGCTGCGAGGTGGCCCAGGAGAAGACCGATGTGAAATGGTACAAGGAGGGGAAAGTGATCACCTCGAGCAAGAAGTTCAAGGTGGAGTCGGAGGGCAAATCGCGTCGTCTGGTGGTGGGTCAGGTGGAGAAGAGAGATGCTGGGGAGTACACCTGCGAGGCTGCTGGCCAGAAACTGACCTTCAAGCTTGTCGTCACAGGTGGGAGACATATTTCATTGCCTTTTCTTTGTGTCTGGGTGTTTTCTCCTTTTTTCTCTGTCAAAATATTAGAAATGCTGTTAAATACTTTCTGACATTGGTCTAAGCTACCATTTAAGTGAGGTTGTGTAGGACTGGGCAGATCTACTGGTTATGTGTGGGTATACCGATATCAGCTCCTCAACTCCTTTAGGCTCAGATAGTGAATCAAGAGTTTTCGTTAGCAGGCATTGTGCTAAAGAACCTCTTCCAATTCAATCATCAGTATTGGTATTCCTCCTCTTGTTATTGCTATTCATCCATGAAAGTCACTGTTTTCTTCCCTCTTTGTTTCATCTTTACTCTACACAATGTCCTCTCTCCCAAAACAGAGAATTGCTTCAATTATTCCGCAGTCTGGCTGTGCAAACACATATGTGAGCACAGCCTCATAACTCCATGCACCACGAAACTTTTGTGGATGATGAACAGAAATGGATATAGATATGTGCAAATGGAATTACGGTTTGTATTTAACATTTCATTCAGCTCTTCCCCTACCACTTCTTTCATCTGTCATTGGATACCCGATTGTGATTTGTAAAGCGATGAGAAGTGGTGCAAATACCTGTCCACCAAGTGATATTTAAACAGTGGTGTTTACAAGATCCCTACTTTATTGTGCCTGCATTGAGAATGTTGGGGAGTTGATGGTAGTGTATTGTCCTAAAAATTTTGTAGCAGCTGCACTGCACATATCTGCGATGTGCTGAGTCCAAAGGTGATGACTGTTCATTGAGATTTCTACCTCTGCAATGACCAGTCATGAGTCCAGGAATGTTTATTTGTATTTGCATTTTTCTCCTTTAACAACATGATTTGGAGTCTGAGGATTTAATACTGAGGCTGTTCTTTCACTCTGACTACACTAGAGATTTCTTTGGTCTCGGTATATTTTGCAAGAGGTCCAGTAAATTTTATCTCAGGCTCCGGGCAGCCATGGATATGTCAGCTACATTCGGAGTAACCATTTCTGAACTGGATGATAAGGAAGGGTTTGGGTTTGTTTTGTTCATATTCATAACACTCCACTGTCTTTGCAGCCAAACTCCTCTCTGTTGTTACAGTTCTTGTCTCATATTCTGAGCTGATCAGAACAGGGAATATATTTTCTCCTCTGCTTTCTTACGGCATCAAACACATCGGGACCATGATGCTGGCAGAGGTCTGGCATTTCATCAGCTATGTAGAAGAGCAACTGCGTTGGGAGTCTATTGACTTTCCTGCTTGCAGCCGTGTTGGAGACCTGAAGTCCTTGCAGGGCATAGCTCGAGTGCTGTTCCCTTGTAATGGTTGCAGTCTTTACCGCTCTCCCGCTGTCTTGGGGCATCCTGCTCCCTCCATCTTCTGTGCGCAATGCGCAACTGCTGCTATAGCATAAAGCTTTGCTGCTCCCCGCAGCATAAATTGTAAGCCATCAGCTGTTATGTGTCCCCACTCTGCGTGGCATACGCAGGGCGTGAGTTGGGGCATTTTGGCTCTTTTTCACGAATTGTGTAGCTCATCCTTTTGCCTCGGGGAACTGCCAGTTTCAGTGAAGGATGGATTACGGTAAGGCTAGATCTGAGAGGCATCTTTCGGAGAAAATGCAACATGGTTTATACCAATGGTCTTTCTATCAATGTCGATCTGAGAGGCATCTTTCGGAGAAAATGCAACATGGACATTGATAGAAAGACCAGTGGTATAAACCAAGTTCATGCTCAGCTGCTGAAACCAGTTCACATATTACTGCAGAGGTGTAGTCAGAAGACACACAAATTTAGTGCTTTTACACTTTAATTCTCTAGCTGAGGGCTATTCTTAGCTGTCTGCCTCAGAAACGAAAGGTTTTCAGTTCTCTTTCAAACCGGATGACTTCACGGCTGCGCAGGGTAATGTAACACCTTTCCCCCTCTGTTGTAAGTGGAGAGTGCTTGCCTAGCTACCGTTGCTGTATTTCTCATGTGTACAACTGTAACATGACGTGCAAGTCCGGCACTCACTGGAAAACGATCTAGTCTGAAAGTCAGGAGGGATTATGAGTACTCTGAGTGGTTGGCTCTTTTGCTGCAGAAATCCTCATCTTACTAGATTATCCCAAAGTGCAGTGGCTTTCTGGGTCTTAATTTATCCTGTTACCATTGCACTCGGAAAGCTTTTCAGGGTTCCTGTGCTCCAGGGCTCCACTGGTAGCAGAAAACCTTCCCTATTTAAGGACAGCTTGAAGGTTAGATGCTCGGTGTTGAGTACTGGGATGCAGCTATAGCTTTTTGGCTTAATATAAAAAGAAGCAGGTGCTGCACACCTTGGGACTGGGCTAGACGTGTAGCCAAAAGAGCTGATTCTGAAAGCTCATTATTTCAAGATTCATGGTATGCAGTGAAATCCTTATTTGAAGTTGGCGAAAGCTGCATGTCCTGAAAATGGTTTTCTTCAGTTTCAGTGGGACTTCACTAACCAGTTTCAGCTGAGGTTGAAAGTGTCGTCTGCACTGAATACTTCTTTAACTTTAAAATAAGTTTCTAAGGCAAATTACTGGCTAATGTAAGTCACTTCGTAAGCTGACTAAAAGTTTTAGTCACATTTCCTATCACTATAAAAATGGTTTATATTAAAGGGCAAGAATGCAGAGGACAAGTGAGTAACCCTTCTGGAATATTCCTGCCCTGCTAACTTGACATTTTAAATACAGCACCCACTGACACAGGCTGGTTTGTAACTCATTTTTTTAGTGCACCCTGCATATTCACAGTCCAAGTTGTAGCTGGAAGTTGAAATGTTTATGTTTTTGCAACCAGTTTTGAATGGAAACCATGGTGTGTGCTCGAGCTCTTTTAGATATCAAAATGCTGCTTAATCTGCAGTGGGCTGACGTGTGCCTTTGAGGAGTTTTGCATCACCCAGGCCATGTACGCTGCCTTGTTAATGACACCTTAATGACAATGACACCTCCTTACACCCCTTCTACAGCCAATATAAACAGAGGAGCTCAAATTTAGAGCATGTAAGCTGGGTTCCTGCTTCGGCTGGCTCCCTGCAGGACCCCTCTCTTTCCAAGGACTGTGCAAAATTGACGGCAAGCCTACGATGTGGCTCCCAGGATGGCATGTAGTGCCACGGTCAGCAGTGTAGGAACTTGACCTCAACTTACCCCTACTCCTTACCCTCCCAGGCAGCTGCTGCCACTCAGAGTACAGACATGACAGAGACTGTATGCAGAGGAGAAAGTCATCAAGGAGGAGTAAAGGATGGCACTAGGAGGCTGCAGAGAGTGTCTAGGGGGAGGAAGGCAGTAGCACAGGTTACAGAAGAGGTTCACCATGACTGCCAGGGAGAACCAAGAGCCCGCCAGGTAACCTTAACCAGGTAACCCAAAGCTGAGTGGATGAATTATCTTCCATGCTTGCACTGCAACCGAAGAGCAATGGCAACCCCATACGCTTGCTAGTCCAGCATCTATCGTTGGAGCTTGTGCTTCTGTATCAGTGAAATCATGGACTTCAACGCTCAAGTACATACCTCGGACCCAAATAGGCATAGGCCGCCTGTGCTAAATGCTGGACAGTTGTTGAATTGTGATGTCCATCACGTAGGCATACCAGAAATATTTTACACTTCTTGTGCAGTTATTTCTTAGGGTAAATCAGTGGGAAAAAATGTGGTAGCCCATTTATTTAGGGTCTATTTGTCCTCCCACATCTCAAATGTACGGTAATATAAAAGCTAACAGTGACCACACTAATTGTTGGTAAAAGGACAACCAGGTAAAACAATCATTACAGTAAAAGGTGCAATTTATCAGTCAGTCCTACTTAGCAAGGTGACAATTGAATCTTTTCAATGCATACGCCTAACTAACTACTGATCGCACACGATATCCTTTTGATGCCAACTCCCCCTGTTGAGATGGACGTTCTAAGTGGTACTGTGGAAGAAAGTTATTTTAAACAGTTCATTCTTGTTGCTTGTGTTAAGTATTAAGAGAAGATTCCCTATGGCCAGTTTTCCAAAAAAATTGAGATTTCTGAGGAAAGAAAAGTGTACTTCAAATTTTATAGGCCACTTTTATGTATAACGTAGGCCAAGTACTTTTCCATATTAAGAACTGTATCTTTGTCATTTCTTCGGGATCGAGTTACAAGATATTTTCTGAACAGCACCCGGTCTTAACCTCAAATACTGAGATGCTGGTAAATTCCTGTAAATAATGTGATAGTGAAGGTGGCAACTCATAATTGTGTTATATTTGGCTAGTTCCAAATGTGGGGTGTAGAAATATCATAAAGACACAAAGGGGGAAATTTATTTTTGTCTTCATTGTAAGAAATTTGAAAATGAGGCAGTTGAGCTGTTCGTGAAGACTGGTCAGAGAGGTATGATAATTACATGGACTATGTTTTGAGGGTGCACTGTTCTATGTGATAAAAAGAACAGTAAAGCAATGGTACTTACAAGAAATGATCCTGTAGAGCACCTACACAAAATACATGTAATGTCTTCTTGTCACAAGCTATTATTTCTTAAGTATTTTTTTGCCCTGATGTTTCCTTATTTCAGAGGCAGAGGATGCATTTGTTTACCAACAAGGAGAAGGTGCAGAAAGAGGTGAAAGCTGCACTATCGGAAAACGCCACGCTGAGCTGCGAGGTGGCCCAGGAGAAGACCGATGTGAAATGGTACAAGGAGGGGAAAGTGATCACCTCGAGCAAGAAGTTCAAGGTGGAGTCGGAGGGCAAATCGCGTCGTCTGGTGGTGGGTCAGGTGGAGAAGAGAGATGCTGGGGAGTACACCTGCGAGGCTGCTGGCCAGAAACTGACCTTCAAGCTTGACGTCACAGGTGAGGGATTATCTGATTACATATTTGTTTGCTGTAGCTATAGAGAAAGTTTCCTAGTGACATAGACTTACTTCCAGCCATCGAGCTTGACATCACAGGTGAGAGAAGATTCTTTGGCCCAGCCTTCCTATTTCTGGAATATTTAGAAAAATGAATATTATTATGTATCTTCTATGTAAAACAGTATAAAATCTGTAAGACAGGGAGCTCCATCCCCGAAAAAACTCTGGGAGAGACCCACCTCTGTAGAAACAGGCCGTGAAGAGGAAAGTACTGATTGCACCTCTCCATCCCAACAAGTTGGTGCAACAGAACAACTTTGTGACGCAGCTGATTGTCAGTGCATTTCAGAGCAGAGTCGTGGTGGAGAGTGGTAGGGTGTCTGCCCAACGTCTGCACTCAAAACCCAAAACAAACCACACAATCTCACCACAAAGCAGTCTGCATGTTCTACCAATAGTGTTAGATGTGTATTGTCAAGTCAGAGACTTCGTTTCCAGTGTTACCTGTAAGCCGTGATAAGGGGATCGCGCAACATCATATCTTGGAGACACTCTGAAATTCTCTCTCTCT